CACAGTCTGTACTCCTTACCTCTACACTCCATAATAGTTAGCATAGAGCTGTCAGAACTCTAAATCAGGCGCTAAATCCACCTGATGCAAAGTAACTAATGGATAAGTGCAATCAACTATAAGGGAAAATCACTACAAATGCGTTCTTGTCCTTGAGGACAAAGATGTTACAACTCTGTCATTGTACTGGCTCTTTTTATCATCAACCCAAAACGAAGTAGTGGGTGTACAGTTAATAGGCAGTTATAAGTAACAGGAGCTTGCATGTCTGAGTAATAATGGACAAAGACAGGAAATACCTTAGACTATATCCACCAATAGCTCATTCCGATCCAGAGGGTTTACCCAGATGAGAGCGGTTGAGCTTCCGGTGTTTTAAGACATCGTACCTATAGAGACCGACGGCACGTGACATATAATTTCCAAATGATGCAAGTGCTTTCTGGGCATTGCTATTTCGCGTGCCAGACAATAACCGAAAATAAAGATCATTGTAGCACTCGCTAGACGAGCTACCAGTTTATGCAGCGAGAGAATATGCAGCGTCGAAATCGTCGTGTTGTCGTCTACATGGCATATATATGTCATGCAGGTATCGGGCCTCGGGGTATATCCCTATTACCCGGATGTGTCATCATAGCCCATAACTATGGGCCAGTCCTTAGAGCCTATTTCTGGGCGTAGATGGGTGTTACGGGTTAGTCCGTAGTCAGGAGAAGTTTTTCCCGTAGTCGGTTAACTACGGGAAAAAAGGAGGTTGTCCGGTAAAAGTCAAAGTTGGCCTATCAGCGGCATTGTGGGATGTTACTCGACTCTATAATCGATATAGAGAGGATTTCTCTTGGAAGAGGTCGCCCGTCCGTGGGCCGGGTGTGCAACGGCGCGAAGCCGTTGAGGTGTTCGTGTGGCCCGTTATCGGCACGGTCGAACATACCGCGCGCCAGCCGGGCCACGAAGTCGGTGATGGTCTCGACTTTCAGATCGGCCGCTATGACGTCATTCCGGACGTAGCGACCTGCTCCGACGATCGTCCTTAATGTCAGATTCTGCTGAGCCTGTAGTCGCCGCCTCAGAGGGTCGCTCAGAAGCGCGTACCAGGCCGGAGCATCATAGGTGGTGATAGGCCGGTTATACCTACGTCTTGTATATCCGGAGCTTGGTTCTTGTCGGCAACTTGGATGCCAGGACCGGACGGAGCATCGCCCGCGCACATCTGGCTCTGCGGACGACGAAGTCGACGTGCGTGGTCGTGCGCAGCGTCTTGTCGATCCGGCACCCAAGGTAAGTCACAGCCTTCTGGTACGCGATCTTCTGGCCATTGAGGATCAGCGGAGGTGGTAACTTCCTGAGACGGCGAGTGAGCAGAGCGGTCGTCTTACCAACGTTGACGACCATCCTCCACTCGTCCAACCATGGTGGCAACAGGTCCAGCAGACGCTGCATCCTGGCAGTGGCTATGTGGGCTCTTCTGGATGAGGTGAAATAGGCGCTATCGCCAGCTCGACGTCGTCCTCATACTCTTGCAGCCTGCCTGCCAGTGTTGGGATGTCGTTAGTATAAGCCGCGTACAGGACTGGAGACAAACAGCTGCCCTGTGGAACGCCGGCTCTGATGGATCTGGTTGCGGATTCGGCGTCCTCTACGCAGACGTAGAACTTCCTGTCTTCCAGGAAAGACGCCACGCATACACCACATACACGCAGGAGGGACACTGGTCAGCAAGGCGAGACGATCTGCCGCGAGAGATATGCGTGCAGATCAGGCGCGTCGATATTCCCTTCATTGGAAGGAGGCTGGAAGAGAGAATTACGTGGTAGAGAGCCATGCTGCCGCTATTGGGTTGTTCGGAAAATAATTTCGTTTTTTTTAAGAATTAGAAAATCTATTATCGTAGGTATATTAAATAAATATTTTATTGAGTTATGTTTGTCCACTTTGGTCCATCACCTTTTGTTATCTTTCGGGCAGTAGCGTAAATCCACGCTCATAAAATTTTTGTTCTTTACTGGCAAAAAACCGATTCTGGTGGTTTTCGATCTCCCTATTTGTAATAAAGGTTTTACCGTTAAAACATTTTTGTAGGGATTGAACTAAATAATGATCAAAAGGTACTAGATCTGAAAAATATGGTGGATATGGCGCTTATTATCTTACGAGAATCTAGATTGCTGCACTAGTCCCAGACTAATTTTGAGATGCTGTATTCTGTATTCATTATTGTATACCTACTACTGTGTGGTGTGGAAATGGCTGTCGAAAACAAAGTTCATGGAACTAGAAAGAGCTCTAAGCTCTAAGAGCATTATTACACCATAAGCAACTCCTACCACTAAACTATACAATCTGGTCAACTTTCTGACTGTTAGGAAACGACTCTTAGCTAACTCTCTAATATACCACTCTAATCTAGTAAGTTAAGTTAGAGAATATATAACATTGTAGGCTTTATCTTAAAACAGGGATTGGCTTTGCTGGTTGCCAATGTAATACAAAAAACAGTAAAATTTTGCCCTATCTACCCAGAACGACCTTATAGTATCTTGAAGGATTGCAGTAGTTGGGTTTTAATTTAAATTTATTATGGGATTTCAAGCAGATAATTGTGTGCAGTTTCGTGGTCACTTAGAGGGGAAGTCCAAAATGGCCTCTAAAAAGCTTGGCACGCTCAGCAGAGCGAGACAGTATTTCATGCCGGCACATCGCTTGACACTTTACAAAGCGCAACTTCGGCCTCACATGGAATACTGTTCTCATTTATGGGCCGGGGCATCCCAGTGCCAGCGCCTTCCACTTGACCGCATCTAGCGCAGAGCGATTCAAATCGTCGACGACCGAGTTCTTTCCGATCAGTTCGATTCACTGACGCTGCGTAGGGATGTTGCATCCCTTTGCGTTTTCTATCGCATCTACCACGGGGAGTGTTCTGAGGAATTGTTCGGATTAGTTCCAGCCGCCAAATTTCACGAACGCACATCGCGTCAAAATTCCCTATACCATCTTCACCATCTGGATGCTTGGCGGTCCACTACTGTAGGTTTTACTGGGAGTTTTCTTCCTCGTACAACTTCTTTGTGGAATTGTTTACCACCGGCGACTTTTCCGGACCGATACGACTTACGGACCTTCAAGAAAAGAGCTTACTCCTTTCTAAAATGCTGGCAACGCATCTGCAATTCCCTTGGTGTTGCGGTTGATCATGGGCGGCGGTAGTCACTTACCATCAGGTGAGCCGCATGCTCGTTTGCCCCCTCTATTTTAAAAAAAATATCCAGTCATTTTCTCTATTGATTTACGAATGTTTTTCATTTCAATAGTCTTACGAATTTGGTTTCCTTATTTGTTGGGGTATGTTAGTGTTACCAACCTAACCTTTTTGGGTAGGTTAGTACGAGTGCCCCTGTGTTTAGTGCGTAAGAATATTTTTCTTAACCGACTACTATTTACTTAACCGACTTGTATTACGGGTGGTTCACGCCAGTAGTCGAATGGCGGATTCGAACCCACGATCGAACGCATCTATTTGCAGATAATATCTAGTGTGCGACTGAAGGTCACTTTTGGCCAAAGGTAGCCAAAACTTCGGTCGGACACTAAATATATCTTTCGACGGTATTCCTTTGTTTTTGCCACGTTCGACTGCCTCCGATATCACAGACAGAGGATTAAACATCACAAAAATTACATTCGTATTATCGTAATCATTCACTTTATTAACTGATAATCTAATTCATTATCATAAAGAGCGTGAAATAGGTATCGGATACGGCGTATCATTTGACTATCTTATCAATTGTGGATAATATGGTAAATAATAAGCAAATGTAATACAATAGGTACAGTGTTAACGCGTTTTAGTGTCGCCGCGCGCCAGTTATCAACTGCAAAAAGTTGCAATTTCAAACAAGCTTATCTGAGTGTTCAGAAACATTGGCTATGAAGAAATGTAATTAATACCGGTATGTGAGTGCCGGGATTTTATTTATTTTGATATTGTGTATACCTGTGAAGTTCATATTTCAGTGCATGTAGCGATCTTGTAAACTGATTTTGTATTGCTAGTAATCTTACAGAATACATAATTAACTTTATTTTTAGAGAATAGTTGTGAATACCTATTAATTTTATTTAACTAAGTATATTGGAAAATGCTTTGATTGTAAAACTAAACTCGGATCTAATTAAATAGTGCATTTATTCATAAACTCTATTTGAATATTCTTTAAAAAATCTTACAGCAGTTTTGAAACGTGTACCAGTGTACCTACTTTATTATGGTCTTAGTACCATTAAAAATTATTATCATCCTTAGTATTATATCATTGACGTATTAACTAAGCTATTCTTTAAAGATAAGTAATTAATTACTGCTTTAACTAAGCGCGACACAGAAAACCTCGAGTAGCGTGAATTTCTTCCGACTTCCTGCCGGCTACGACTAAGCGCTTAGGTACTTAAATGGATGCTGTGGCCCATAGACAACTACATCTATTTTCGATTAACATTCAAAAGGTAGATGTCACCCCTGAGGACTAAGATTTATGGAGAGAACCGGAAACCCTTTTTACTGGCAACCAGGCCAGTAAAAAGGGTTTCCGGTTCTCTACACTCACTATACGAAACGTAGAAGCAATAATCTGCAATTTAACGCAGGTATTATGTGAGAGTGTGGGTCTTCCCCGGTCGAACTGACCCATTGGTGTTGCAACCATAATATAGGTACCACGTGAACCTACCAACAGCTTACCAGACTTCACAGGTCTTTAAATAAAATACAATAAATATAAATAATAATACAAAAATAATGCAAAGTGCGCTTAATGTAACATCGAACCAATCCTGCAATACAAACAGAGGACGTTCGTCTCTGAAATATAACTGTTACAGCTCATTAATTAGGCTTTCAAATTATTCCATTCTTACTACCTTTTAGAAGTCATTTTTCCTTTCAGAAATGAAAATATAGCGAATAAGATAGCGGACGTGTGATATTCCATAGTGCTATGGCGAAGTTTATAAAGTCTTTCTTTCAAACCGCACCCGATAAGAGAAAGAATTCGCAATGTGGAACGGAGAACGATGGTGACGTAAGCGTCCTAACACCGCATTTAAGAAGAAAGCTTTCTATATCTAGATCGGGGCGGATGAAACAAACCAATAAAAAGAGACACTCCATCTCTCTTGAGATATATGGCGCGGTAAGTGAAACGAAATGTATTAATGTGATGTGTGATGTATAAAATGAAAAAATATCTCTTTATGAATTTATATGGTCTCCGTCTCAAAAGAAGTGAAAGAAGAGAAACACTTTTTTGTCACTGTCCATTACATAGAAGAACAAAATTAATAAAACGGGGTTAAATCTTAAAATATTGTTATTTAAATAAGATAAAGTGAAGAAAAAGTGTTGTACCTAAAACAAAGGTTTTTCATCTTTTATACGTATCTCTAAAGACAATTATATGTGATGTTTTAAAAACTACTATACAGCGTAAGCAATAAAAATATTCTATCATACAACTAATTAAAAACTAATAGCTGTATGATATAATCCATAACATGCATAGTACAGCCACTAAGATTGTAAGACCCTGAAATATCGTTTAGGCTGTTTAGCAAACTCTTGCCATTTTAAGACCTATAAAAACAAAATTTAAATTGTAAATTTAGTAATATGAGACAGTCGTTTAAGCCTATACAATGGTATAGGCTTTCAGTTTGACTAATGATCAACTGTGCCCCAATGTGCAATCCTATTCACTAATTTAATTATTTTTTTTATTCTAACCTATACACTAATATTTATTTACCGTATTTAGTCCTTTTATTCTATTATTTTGCTGGAGCGAGTATTTTTTGATAGAAATCATATACAAGTGTACCGTAAATCTAATTTTGCACTTTCAATTTACCTATTATCACCGCCAAAACTCAACTCCAATCCGAGTAATGTTAATATGCAATATAATCTTTTACTCAGTAATCATTCAAAAAAGTATATAAATAAATCTAATAAATTCCTTTATTCAAAAATTTAATTGTGATTCTATTCAAACTCCAAATTAGAACGTTTGTCTTTAAAAGATACTTATAAGATAATATCTGAAGTGTAATAGTTTCCTTGTACACCAAATAACTGCTGTATAATAGCTGTATGCTATTATACAGCCTCTTTTATGCTTGTACAGCGCTACAAATACAGCCTCTTTTATGCTTGTACAGCGCTACTAAGGCATAAAGCTGTATAATTTGTGCCAATTTTTTACTTATAAGAACTGTATAATGTATCGCTTATACAGTCTTTTTACAGCCAGAAAAAGCAGCCTCTAGTATAAAAAGAACTTCAATACGGCTCGTATACAGCTTGCATGCTGCTTGGGTTAGCTCAACACGGAATTTGCAATGCCTATTTTGTCATAATCCTTACATGCTTACATCCTTACGGGCTTAATGTAGCCCACATTTCGCCAGTTTTATAGATATATTTTGATAACAAATATTAATTTTGATATGTTACATGATTCGTCTTTATTTTTATAGAATAAGGGTAACAAGTGAGCACACAGTCCACCTGATGGTAAATGGTTGTATTTTTGTTTGTATTTTGATTTACAATCGAAAACGTGTGCAGGTGTCTATTTGGAACATCATCCACTTACCAACAGGCGAACTATGTGCTCGTCTTTGCCCCTTATTTTTGTAGAAAAACCCGTAGGCATTATCTGTAACATATATTTATTTATCAGTAGTTAATTGCCGTCTCTTTATCACTTAATTGATGCAAATTTGTTTGCGTTACCTCTTTATCTAGTCGGGCAGGTACCTACCGTATACTACAGCGATTATAGTTAATAGAACGTAACATATCTTTATCAACTCGTATGCGTCCGTGTATTCTATACAAAGTAAGAGTGACAAATAAGTTCACAGACTACGTGATTGTAAATAGATAATAGATTGAGGAATAGAACCTTCGATTAGGAATCAAAGAGTACATGCGTTGATCACACCCGCGGAATAAGATGGAATATGTTGTTACCTGTGAAGAGTCCTCGTGTTCACATCTTATGAATATGAATGAAACAGAAATGAAAAAAAATTAAAAATACTTTTTTTTAACAGTTAGCATCTTTACCAATAATTCAGCAGTGGTTCTCACACTAGGCACGTAGACCAGTATCGTGAGAGCCATATACACATATTAACAAAAAACAGAAATTTGTACACGGCTGACTTTACAAAGCTTTCCCTTTAAATATCTACTTCAATTTATTTATGGTCTATGAATATAAACATATACTTAAACATATATACACACATTAAATATATTATAAATATACATCCATATATACACAAACATACATACATACGTCCATACACATATATATATATATATATATATATATATATATATATATATATACATATATATCATATATACATACATACACACAAATAGATATTATAATTTGTTAAATGAAACAGTATTATACTCCTAATTTACGGCGGTATTTTGTGCGAGCGTAGTCTTGCCCCATTCGAGGCTTCTTTTTATGCACTGCAGCCGTAATACGTCTTAAGCGTCAGCAGCTTCATCAGGTATAAAAACGTAGCTTAAAATTTATAGTGATTAATTCACATTGGCATTCCTTGGATGAGACCTATGTTTACCAGTGGACTTGTGAGGAGCTGTTATTAGTGAATTATAATTATTATTTATTCCAAATTAGAGGGCGGAGAGTAGGTATCTAATAAAGGGCAATGGTAACAAACGTCCACCTGATGGACATCTACATCTTTTCTCGATTATGAATCAAAATTCAGATGCGTGGTCACCCGTGAGGACTAAGATGAAATGCCTCGTTTCCAGTAAAAGATGTCTCCAGTTCTCTATATATACTAACCCTGAAAAATACAGCAACGTTAAGCTGTTATTTGACACTGGTATTCTGTGACAGCGTGGTCCTACTCCGATCGAGCCGACCCATTCGTACTACAACTATACTACTAATATAGCTGCAGCATGGCTCTACCAGGTAAAACATAGTTATAGGGTAAAGCGTCCATCTTGGTGTACGTTCCGCCAAGGTCATGCACGACGCACGACGTAATAATGGGTATGTTCCGAAATGTTTCCAGTATACTGGCGAATGCAAATGACGTCATTAAAGCGCATATTCAAATATGTCCAAGTCGAAATCTACGCGATCGCTATGGATCGGCGTAATATTGACGTACACTACAATGTTATCTCTGTGTGCGTGTCAGTGCGAGCGCGAGGCTATAATAGTTGCCTAACGACGACTACGAATCACTTTGATCGTTGATTATATACCTGTCTTTGATACTGTTGGAACTAAAATAATAAAAAAATAATTTCCATATAATGGCTTATATAGTGTATAGAAATCGGAGGCTAATATGTGAAAATTGTTTTATTCTTTTAGTAAATTGAAGTCGGCTTTACATTTTCACCCTATTGAGTATATTATAATATGTATATGTTCTAATTGAAAAATATGTATTGTATAAAATATATATCAATTGATAAACTTTTATTCTGTTTCATAATGTAAACATCAGCGTTGTTCCTGACAAATTTAGAGTTGCCGTATTCTAACTCCAAAATTGCCGGATTTTTTAGGGAAAACTAAGAAAAATGCCGTATTGTACAAAATACTTGTTTAGAAGGTTACAATAAAAAAAAACGTGAAATACATGTTGTTTACATAATAAATAAGTGTGTACTATAAATGTACTAATTTTATTCTTCACCATATAGGTTTTGAATAGTTTCCAGTACTTCTGATTCTGTCACATTTGGGTCGTCCTGTTTTTTATCTTTCATTTTACGAATCATTTACTTTGGCACTTGAAATTTTGTAAATTACCATTACCGATCCGGATCTCCATGGTTCTGAAGGTTAGAGAACAGGAGAAAGATCGCCATAGAAAATAGTGTCCCAGAAATATGAACACCATAAGTGAGGAGCTGCGATCGCTACGTTCAGTCAATAAAAGTCATTTTCAGTCTATTTTTCCGATCAGATGCTAAACCACTTGCACATCCACACAATAAAATATTTCTCCATTTTTTTAATGTTTTTTTTTTGTCAAAAATTACAAAATTACGAAGCATGAAAATTTTCTCACCAATGCTGCGGAGAAAATTTGTACATTATTCAACTAACTTCATCTACTTATACTCATAAACAGTTAAATTTCGCAGCCACTACTCACCGACGTCAGCGCCGCTATAAATTCTACAATTTTCAAGGACAGGTGGGCTATGCTTTAGTACGTAGTAATCGTTCTCCTGTTCTCTAACCTTCAAGGTTCACAAGTTGGTGTGTTCCATTATACGAAATATTTTTTTTCGCCTCAATTACCGTATATTTTAATACGGTAATCAATAGCTGCCGTATACCGTATTTTTGTTGCTTAAGATGCCTGAATGCCGTACATTACGGCAATTGCCGTATCAAGAACAACGCTGGTAAACATCATTCATCAAAGTAACAATTTCATTAGTGTCGGCGATATTAGTGTTGCCAGGTCTAGCAAGTAAAATTTCGGGACGGAAGGTAAAAATAATCGAGGATTTGGTTTTCATATCCGGACAACTAGAATGACTACAAAATATAGGTTTCTTTGTAGCCTTTTGTGCTTTATTGAGAGCCGTGGTAGCTTAGACGATCAACGCTAACTGTAAATATCACAGTATGCGAGTAATGCGAGAAATTGTGACTGTAACTTTACTTTATTTTTGTGCTTTATAATTATTATCCGGGTCTGATCTCATAAACGAATAAGTTTTCATCCAAACATCGTAAAAACTGAATTTTTTTTCATTTTAGGCAAATTAAAACATTTTTGATCTATTTGTTATTTTTTTGCAGTCCCTGAATTTTTCAAATCACTCATTTTAATATAATTCTGTTTAAAACTTTTGTGTTTTTTTTCGACTGGTGAGACAATGTCGTAGTAAAAATATTTTAATGTGGTAGTAGCTAACAGATATAATCATTTTTGCTGTCAAAATTATGGAATAGTTATTTAAGTTAGTATAGTTATTTATAGTTAGTTAAGTATAGAATAACAAGGTTAGTGAAAATCGGGACATTTGGCGTCCCGATCAAGGGTGAATCGGGACGTGTCACTAGACCCTTGAAAATCGGGACGTCCCGCGCAAATCGGGACACCTGGCAACACTAGCGGGGATCGAGCCCGGATTGTTCGCGTTTACGGCGAGCACTACGCCCTTGATCTACTCAACTCAAGCACGGCTCATATGTTTTATATCTGGGGGCACAGTAGTGCCCCCGCCATGTCGACCAAAACAGCGGCTCGGCCGTATCATCATTGCGAGACTTGGTTATTTTACAAGTTATGTTTTGATGGCATGTCTTTGTTTAATCATAACGTTATCTCCACACTAGGATTTTTTCCTAAGTACATCGTTGGGGCAGTTTAAATACATTAATTTCACAAGGACAAACATCCAGACCTGGAACAATTATTTGTAGGTAATACAAATTTTTGTTCCACGTGGGATTCGAACCTGCGGCGCTCAGCGCTACAACTCATTCAACTCACTCAACCAAGTCACTCCGCCACGGAGCCAAAGGTGAAAGGCAACGATTTTGTATTTTTACTTGATCCGAATTGCTTACGTTCATTACTTACTCATTTCTAAAAAAATATATATGAAATGAAAAATTGCCACCATTATATCACTTAATATTTAAATATTACAATCATAAACATATTTCAAAATTACTTACTGCCAAAAATATCGCTTATAAAAAGTCTGAATCGTTTAAAATGCTCGATGGTGCTATAGGTATCTAGTTATATGTAGTATGGTGTAGTTACTGTAGTATAGCCCTATCGGTGTATCAACGCGATCGCGCGGTGTCGGTGAGAAAAAAGTAATACGTCCTGTCGTTGTTGGGATTACCCGGAGCGTACTAAATAAATCGAACGGCGTCTGCACATGATGTTTTATAGTATTTTTAAAATAATTATATAAAATAATTGACAAAATAAAAAGAGCTAAAAATTTTATTGGATATTTAACATTACATGTATTTTGATAAAATAATTAAAATAGAGAAGCAAATACATGGAAAAAATTACATTGAAGTAGACAGTTTTGATTTTATAATATTATTTTATAATATTAAATCGAAATATTTTCGTAATTTAGGTTTTGCTATACACTAAAAGACTATATATTCCATTATAATAACGCTTAAAATAAAGTATTTTAGCTTATAATAATGGTTGTATTCAACCTGAAAGATAACTCTGATGCATATTTTCGTAAAACACTGTGAAGGGGTTGTCTTCGCCCTAAAAAACCGTCTTTAAAAACTATGATTTTGCACTCCTATGTACTAAATAAAGACTTAATCTTTCTAAAGCCCTAATTTTCAGCAAATAATCTCCTCACGTCGTTACGATATCGCCTTTGGAAAAACCGTAAAACATGTAGTTTTCGACGCGAAACGCATATGCCCTTTTAATTGACGGCATATTCTACCTATTCGATATAACGGATCACCAGAATGACATCGATTTATGACGTCATTTGCATTGACCCGTGTACCTACTGGTTTGCATGTCGGAACATACCCAATATGAGAATGAGTAGGCTTGATGTATGATGACGTCAATAATTACGTACGCCTACTCTGGACAATGAATAAGGTGCTTAAGTCTCTGGGCTATTCTCTGGAAATTATGATAGTCTCTCTTTCTCTCTTTACTACTCTACGCCATTCGAGCCAATACTCAAAGCCCCACGGTGGTCACCATCAGCGTATACGAGGAGTACTGGGAGCTTTGAGTATTCAACCAACTTAAAGACTGGGAGCATCGCTTTGCTAATTTATTTTTTATATTTATAAAAAATGAAGTAACATGAACAGTCAAACTACCGGTAAATGGTTACTGGAGTCTATAGACACCTGCAGTCACCGTCAAATGAAGACAGCTACAGATTTATTGTAACGAGTAAGCTTGAATGCTTTGCAGCCTAAAATTAAAACTACTCTCTTTACTCTTCAGTCCGAAACATAGCAGCGTTAGCAGGTATTTTATATTATTTTAGAGATAACAATAAATGTTAAGACATTTTAATACTCTAGTCCCGCCTATCTTGCATTATGTAACAGATATGCTCTTTATAATGTACGACCTCGGCTGGAATATATGATTATCCTGTCATAAAGAGAGCGCGCAAAACGTGGGTAACGTCGCAACCATAGTAATTCAAGTAATAAATTAAAATCAGGCGTTACTTGGCGGAAATCCTTTATATTAAAGTTGGTAAAAATTACTTCGCTCAATGAAATATCATTGAGGTCAAAAGAGCCGTGGTAGCTCAGATGGTTAGCGCTCGCTGTAAATTTCACAGTACGCGAGCAAACCGGGTTCGATCCCCGCCGGCACCAATGAAATTGTTAATTGCAATTTTAAGTGCTGTTTTACCACATGCTTGGCGGTGGAGAAAAACATCGTAAAACCTGCATGTCTGAGAAATAAGATAAAAAATCGAAGTGTGAAGTTCGCCAACACGCATTGGGGCAGCGCGGCGGACACTTCCTTGCCCTAAAACCCTCTCAGAAATGAGGGGAGGCCTGTGCCCAGCAGCGGGACGTATATAGGCTGTAGCTTAACTTAACTTTAACAATGAAATATAATTATAAATATTATTGAGCGGATATGGGCGAAGTAATTCTTACCAACTTTAATATACTTAATAAATTCATTACAAGTCTTAAAACAACATTTTTATACTATCCACGAACAGACGTTAATAGGCTTAATATTTTATAAATACATAGAAATATTTAGATTATTTATTATATCTTCCAGAATCTCCAATGTGCTGAAAAACCGAAGACAGTGGAATACCACGTCAATACTCCAGTAAATCAAACCATTAAAACGCCAGATCTCAACAACGAAAATAAAATACAAAGAAGACACAGTACTGACGTGAGGACACCGGAGGAAGAAATAGATATTGCTTTCAATATCATAGATAAGTAGTTTCGTAGCTGTCGCCAACTGGACCAAAAGAAACGAATCCGTTCCAAACCTGCTTTTGCTTTGGTTTCAGTAGGATTCGAATTCGATTCGATTAATTAGAAACTTATTTTTTCCTATATAAAGATTTGCTCATATTGTAAATATAATTTTTCACAATTTTACTTTGCCTTAAGGACGCGTTTTCAAATCAACCAAAATTAGGGTGTTTTTTCGGTACATTTTGTGACAAAACTAAACCAAATCAAATATAAGTAAAAACTACCATGTATAGATTGGTTCTTCATCTGCAAACATCTGTAACTCTATTGCTGAAAATAGTAGTTTTTTATAATGTAAAAACGAACTTTCGTTGCCACTTTCTACAAAATTAACGATATCGATTTGTGTTTCGGTACATGTTTTGGTCTATTATCAACATATTTAAAAAATTTAAAAAAATACTATAAGATGACAGACATATTCAATTAAAAAACTTTATTTTTTAACAAAATGTCACAAATAGTCGTAAAAAAAATAAAAACTGATGCACATTTTTTCACATATTTTGGTAATACGGATGAATCATAATCTATTGCAATAAGGGCTATTTTATTGTTGGTGCCTGCTTTGATTTATTGTACAAAGATTTCGATGAAACCACAGTCCGCGCTCGGCCGCCGTCGTGAGTGGACACTGTATCGCCTATTTGCAGCGGCTCATTCTGAAAAGATCGCTGTACATACACAAAATATTAGAAAAAAACAAATTGGAAACATAAGTACTTGACAAGTGATAAAATTATTATTTTTATACTCACAGTTTTTTATTTAGCTAAAAATAAGTAGAATATAAACAATAAACTTACCTACTACTGCAACTCCTGGACGAGCGGAACTAGGTGTGCCGAGTTTGGGCTCGTTTTGTTGGTTATGATGAGACCTTACCTCCGGACTTGATGGCGTGACCTGAAGGTGTACTTTCGTGACCGCTATTTGAACTTCTTGCAGAGGGGTGGCAAACTAGGGGTGGCAAATTTGGGCTCCGTTTTGTTAGTTATGACGAGTCCATACCTCCGGACTTGATGGAGTGACCTGAAGGTGTAAATCGGTGATTGCAACTGGAACTCCTAGACTGGTAGAACTAGGTGTGCCGAGTTTGGGTTTGTTTTGTAGGTTATGATAAGACCTTACCACCGGACTTGATGGAGTGACCTGAATGTGTAGTTCGGTGATTACAAGTGGAACTCCTAGACTTGTAGGACTAGGTGTGCCGAGTTTGGGTTCGTTTTGTTAGTTATGATGAGACCTTACCACCAGACTTGATAGAGTGACCTGAAGGGGTAATTCAGTAACTACTGCTGGAATTTCTGAACGAGTAGAACTAGGTGTGCCGAATTTGGGCTTCGTTTTGTTAGTTATGACGAGTCCATACCTCCGGACTTGATGGAGTGACCTGAAGGTGTAAATCGGTGATTGCAACTGGAACTCCTAGACTGGTAGAACTAGGTGTGCCGAGTTTGGGTTCGTTTTGTTAGTTACGATGAGACCTTACCACCGGACTTGATTGAGTGACCTGAAGGTGTAATCAGGTGGTTACAAATGGAACTCCTAGACTAGTAGAACTAGGTGTGACGAGTTTGGTTTCGTTTTGTTAGTTACGATAAGACCTTACCACCGGACTTGATGGAGTGAAATTCGGCACACCTAGTTCTACTGGTTCAGAAATTCCAGCAGTAGTTACTGAATTACTCCTTCAGGTCATTCCATCAAGTCTGGTGGTAAGGTCTCATCATAACTAACAAAACGAACCCAAACTCGGCACATCTAGTCCTACAAGTCTAGGAGTTCCACTTGTAATCACCGAACTACACTTTCAGGTCACTCCATCAAGTCCGGTGGTAAGGTCTCATCATAACCTACAAAACGAACCCAAACTCGGCACACCTAGTTCTACCAGTCTAGGAGTTCCAGTTGCAATCACCGATTTACACCTTCAGGTCACTCCATCAAGTCCGGAGGTATGGACTCGTCATAACTAACAAAACGGAGCCCAAATTCGGCACACCTAGTTCTACTCGTTCAGAAATTCCAGCAGTAGTTACTGAATTACCCCTTCAGGTCACTCCATCAAGTCTGGTGGTAAGGTCTCATCATAACTAACAAAACGAACCCAAACTCGGCACACCTAGTTCTACTAGTCTAGGAGTTCCACTTGTAATCGCCGAATTACACCTTCAGGTCACTCCATCAAGTCCGGTGGTAAGGTCTCATCATAACAAACAAAACAAACCCAAACTCGGCACACCCAGTTCCACTAGTATAGGAGTTCCTGTTGTAATCACCAAATTACACCTTCAGGTCACTCCATCAAGTCCGCAGGTAGGTAAGGTCTTATTATAACTGACAATACCAGTTCAAAGTCCAGAGCTAACATCTCACTACCAGTAGAGGGCTTCCAGTGCCAAGCAGTCTTTGGAGCAGGTCATTCATATTTCGTATCGAAGTATATTTCTGAGGTAGGTATAAGAAATGAAAAACAAATTCAATCTTTCAAATTATCAAAATAATTTCATTTGACTACGATTCCCACAGCCAACCGTGCGTACACTAGTGTGTGTGTGACTTTTGTCAACGTAGTAGTGCGATTCTATACCTATCCATTTTGTAAACGCGTCCTTAAAGCGCTGAATTACATGCTACATGGTATTACTTTCGTTCATTTGTATTTAAGATGTTCTTCATATATATGAAAAAGTTAAATGGTATTTGGAAATTTCTTTGGTTAATTATAGTGTGAATATTTAGAGCCTTTACATATTGCTAACAGCACTTATGTTTTATTTACGTACATTAAAGGTTTACATATAATTACATAAGAATCTAGAACATGGTAACGAAGGCATTGGCCCCTTTATTTCCTGTAAGCCTCGTATATTTTTTCGCCTGGTAAGTTTAAAAGCTGGTAAAGCTAGATAATAAGTTAGCTATAAGATAAAATAATATGTAACTAGGTGTAAAAGCAAGTTGGTTTTTGCTTGTTTACATTGGAATGGAGTTAATAGAAATTACCTCCATTCCAATAAAAGAAAGGAACCACGCGCTCGGCGGTGAAGGAAAACATCGTGAGGAAACCTGCATGTCTGAGAAATAAGAAAATAAATATTTCGAAGACATGATATGAAGTTCGCCAACACGCATTGGGGCAGCGCGGCGGACTATTCCTTGCCCTAAAACCCTCTCAGAACAGAGAGGAGGCCTGTGCCCAGCTGTGGGACGTATATATGCTGTAACTTTACTTTACCTTTTTTTATATAGAAATTTGGACTTTATTACAAATTTTATCTTTGAGGACCGATTCTTTTCTGTATGCCTAGATTAGAATTGTTATCAAGGAGTAGATATGTAAAGGATTACGATTAATAATGTGTGTTTGTATAATTAGGTTTTGTGAACACTGTACCAATGCAAATTATTGTTGAGTGATTACATAATTTTAGGTTATATAAAATGTATATAATACATAAATAATATATGTGTATATCATATATTTATTATGACGACAGACAGTTTGCTAAGTCGAAAGAATCTGCAACTCTTTCGCTCGGAGGCAACTCTAATCTTGTCTAAGACCTATCGGGTTGAGCAAAAAGTCTCCATTATTTAAGAGTTTTTAGCACAGAAGTCAAAATATTACTGTGTTTTTAGTAACGTCCTGTAAAATCGGCAAAGTTTAAATACATGCAGGATAAATAAAGTATAGAAACCAAATTGTGTGTTTGTTGTATTATGAATAAATTATATCATTTAGTTATTATAAAGTTATAGCTAAATATCTCGTACATTACTTTTATACTAGATTCATTTATTTACTTCTTTATAATTTGTTGTAAATAAAGACTGATTCGAAGTGTTTTTTTATTCTATGTGTTCCTTCTGCTTACCTTTATCAGGTCGGAAATAGGAAGTAGAGGACTACTGGGAGGGCCTCTTCTATAATAGAATCTGCATAATCGCCATACTTGTGACAAATCGACGACCAGTAGCATACGTCTCGCCCTTTTTATTTTCCTTTCCTTTAACATATATATATATATATATATATAATATATATATATATATATATATATATATATATATATATATATATATATATATATATATATGATGTGGTTCTATCGCCATTTCAAGCTGAACACACATTTGTCGGCACCGTAGGCGCCGCGTTTCGTAGGGTGAGTGTAGAGAACCGGAGACCCTTTTTGATTGATCTTAAGGATTTCCGCAAAGTAACACCTGATTCTATTAATTATGAATTTATGAACGCATCTGCATTCTGATTCGTAATCGAGGATGTAAATGTCTATGGGTCACAGCAACCACTTACCATCTGGTGGACTGTGTGCTTGCTTATGACACTTATCCTATAAAAATCCTCTAATGCTATCACAGGCTTTTATTTATAAATCAGATCCGAACTTTTAAAATATCTCTTACTTGTACCTTGTTGGTCTGGGAGTTTTAGGTCTCATGTTTACGAGGGACTTTTAACAAAAAAATACTATGCCAAATATGTCTATTGTCTAGCATGTAAAAGGCGGCTAATGGGATACTGGGTTAAAGTTTTGTGATTGTGCCGTCGGTAGGTTTCCTCAATTTCTATCTAAAACCATATTTGTTGGCCAAACCAGGTCCAAGTGTCTTGGTGTTCTCTGTACTTTGCCTACAACCTCGTGACGCCTATCTGATGTCTATCCCATTTTTTATTATATGCCACCAGCTATGCAGGTCTAGGAGAGAGAGAGAGAGACCAGTATCACTGCGACCTAAAAGATCTATCGTGATCCCTGCTAAGCCCGCTTTTGAGCGGAGTACATAGTTTCCCAGATGATTGTTACGTTTGCGCATTAAGGGTCCGCAATTAGTTAGTAGGGTGTGCAGAGGCGTTTCTTCCGTTAAGGAACTAAACCGGCACATTCTTGAGTTGCTTAGTTCCAGGATGGACGTGCTTTTTAAGACAAAAAT